TGACCACTATTGAGATTTCAGTTTGTATTCTTGCTAGAGAAAACAAGAAACTTAGAAATAAGTTGATTCCCTTAGTCAAAGTTCAATGGAACGGGAAAGGAGCTGAGGAGGTTTCTTAGGAGCGCGAGGGGAATATGCATCGCGACTTCCCGCACCTGTTTGAACAGATAAATGATTGATTATGATTTATTCCTGTTTATGATTATCCATATGATCATATTTATACTTAACACTAGAATGAGGGCATTAACACTTAGCTCCTAATCATTTGGAACACATGATATATATATGGGGGGTTCCTTGTTTGGATTTTTCGCCCGACGTACTAGTTCCGCTTAGTTAGGGGTTAAGTGAGAGTATTTGCATTCTAGATTGTTAAGTGTGGATATTTTTTTGTTTCATATCTAGAGATTAATTGTACGAGATGTGTATATGAGGATTTCCTTATCTGGATTATTCCCTCAATGTGCTTTTCTCTTATTATTAATCTCTAAGATACGATTGTGGAATTTTGAGGACGAAATTCTTTTAAGGGGGGAAGAATGTAAAACCCCAAAAATTTTAAAAATATTATTATAAATGATAATAAATGAGTTTTATTATGATTAGTGATCATTCTGGGATGAATGGATCAGAATGGAATCGATTTGAGATCGATTCGCGGTTTCAGCCTCGGTATCGCGAGTCTATTAAAAAATGATATTATTTTATTTTTAGTATTTTTTCTATTGATCAGATGGGCACGAAATTTATTCCATTGATCTTAGAATATTAAGACCATGCTATGATTAAAGTTTCGTTGCATTTTGACAACGGAGACAGAAATACTATTTTGAGATGGTATCGCGTCAATTGACATCTATCGTATTTGTATTTTTAATAATTTTTTTGTTGGTCAGATGGACATAAGGATTACGCCATTGGTCTAAGAATGTTGAGACAGTGTTGTGGGTAAATTTTCATTCCTTTCTGGAAATGGACCCCGAAATCCTATTTTTTAAATAATATAAAATATAATATATACACTTACATGTGTCACTAACCCCCGTCCTGTGCCACCAACCCCTTAGATTTATTATTATTATTTTTGGTTATAAAAAGGGGAGGGGGGAGAGTTCTGGGCACAACGAAGAGAAAGACAGAGAGAGAGAAAGAGGAAAGAGAAAGAGAGAAAGAGAGAGAGAGAGAGAGAGAGAGAGAGAGAGAGGAAGAAAAGAGAGGAAAAGAGGAAGGGAATTTTGGCAATTCGAAGAACAGGAACGGATAGGAATTCTAATTTCAGAGATCAATAAAGGCAAGTTCATCTCTTTCCTAACTCATCCCCAGTAAATTTTGATCTTGATGAAAATTTATGAATATACATGATATTGATGAAAAGACATGATATTGATGAAAATTAATGAATAGAATATAAGACCAAATTCCTAAAGACATGATATTGCTAGCTAGAACTATACATATATGTCTACCGCTGGAAATACTGTTACTATTTATACAGGTACTATTCATACATACGGTACTATTCATACGTACGATACTATTCATAAATACAATACTATTCATATGTATGGTACTATTCATAAGTACTATTACTATTCATATGTATGGTACTATTCATAAGCACGAATACTATTCATACATATGATACTATTTATAAGTACTATTACTATTTATGAGTACGGATACTATTCATAAGTATTATTACTATTAATATGTATGGTACTATTCATACGTACGGATACTATTCATACGTGCTATTACTGTTTACGCATATGGATATTATTAATAAGTATTGTTACTATTTATAAGTACTATCACTATTCATGCATACGGTACTATTCACGAATACAATACTTATGTTCTTTTGTTTGAGGTATTTTCTTTTGTACGTTTAAATCGTGAACATGGGTTCGAGCCGTACGATGAGACACGTACAGACATGAACGCACAATAATAGTATCGTAGTACACATATGAGTATTTCAAAAGGGGATTTTGACAAGTGTTGAGTTGATTACACTTGAGTTAGAGGTTTATTTACATGCATGAGTTGGATATCATTGATGGGCACAGCTCAATACTATTTAGGATAGTGCGTCGATATACCAGATATACACAGTTTATACACGAGATGGATATCGTTAATGAACTCAGTTTAGTACTACGTGGGGTAGTGCGTCGATATTCTATTTGTACAGGCCATTGAGTCGGGTTTGGATGCTTTGTCTAGCAGTCCGTCCGCATGTGGATGCGATGGGGCTTGTGAACCGTCTTTGAGGATACCTATATGGTAGGCCGTCCCGCACTGATGTTACGCACTGAGATCACGATGAGACTAATGAGCCGTGTACATTGTTTAGGATACTGATTGGGTAGTCTGTTACGCATGGTAATACGATGAATCAGAATATTGCATGAGATTACATCATGACGATTATATTATAGCCTGAGTTGGGTGGACGCTAAAAGTGAGACGACTTATTTGTTGAGACATATATATGACTGAGATACCTTGTTCTTGCGAGTACATGAGAGACGACTTATTTGTTGAGACATATATATGACTGAGATACCTTGTTCTTGCGAGTACATGAGATTTACATATGCTGATGTTCATTATATATATGACTGAGATACCTTGTTCTTGCGAGTACATGAGATTTACATATGCTGATGTTCATTATGAAGTAATTATTATCCTGTATGGCTTTGTTCCATTCTTAGTCCGGGGTTTATATTTAGTTATCTACAATTTGAGATATATGCTATATACAAGAGGATTTCCTTGTTTAGATTTTGCTCGATGTACAACGTATCGTGTTGTAAAGTTCTAACTATTAATTCCATTAGACATGGGGGAAATGATCTAGGTAGACTATGCTTAATAGATAGAGCCTCCACTACATCTAGCAGCTCTTCCCTTGGGGGTGGATAGAGGTGAACTTGTTGTAGCGCTCTGACGCTCTTGCTGTTTCTCTTTTTATTTTAACTTCCTTTCAGGTAGCAGCTCAGAGTTTCGTGGAGCCGCAGGATGACGGAATTCCAGCATAGTCGTCGTCACATAGTTTTAGTAGTTGAGACTCCATCGTAGTTTTATGTTTTATTTCAGACATTAGAGTTTTGTATTCCATCTTGTAAAGGCAGTGCGCCTCAACACTATTTTCAGTTGACTCATATTGAGACATTTCACAGTTATTTCAGATATCAGATGTATTCCAGTTTATTCATTTGAACATGATTATATTTATGAGATATTTCGTTCTACATCATGTCTATTATTTTTTTTATTTTTTTGCCTGTTTGGTACCTACACTTTTACTTGATTCTACTAGAGAGATATTACTGTGATGGTAAAACGTGTTGTTACACAGTATGGGTGCATGGTAGGTTTGATATCTCTGGGTTCACCTTGGACTGCAACCATGTGTGAAAACAGGGGCGTCACATCTGGTCTCGCACAAATTGGCACGTTGATCCCGTAACAACACCTTCTAGACGTATGCCAGAAATGACTCCGCAAACTGGTTCCCTTGTGAGGTCACTACAACCAACTCAATCCCATCGGACGCTCACAAACTAACTGTTTTGGCAAAATAGTCGATACTGACATGGTAGGAAGATAGCCAGTCTATACCAAAGATCACATCAAAATCAGACATGCGAAAGACGATCCGATCAGCTATGAACTCATATTCATCTAGGCTGAAAATACATCTCCTACAGATACTCTCTAATAGGGACACCTTACCCAAAGGAGTGGAAACTGACAAAGGAATATCTAAAGGTTGTGCCATAAGCTGAAGTCTATCCATGAAAATATAGGAGATAAAAAAATGCAAAGCTCCTGAATCAAATAGGGTACGGGCTGGAAAGGAGTTCACAAGGAACGTATCTTCCACCACGGTCCCGCTCGCACCATGGTCACGAGGCCCGACTAAAAAAACTCGATCGGAAGTTGTGGCCTGTTGTACCGAAGACTCTAAAATGTATGGAACTATTTGTCCTTGTGGTACCTCCTGAATATCACATACCTAACCCTCTATCCTTAGAACTGTCGACGGTGCCTTTAATCTCGGCTGCGGGCCCTAGCCTCGGTTCTGTGGCTTAACCTGAATTTTGCCCTGCTGACCTCCTACCGGTGCACTACGACACTCTGCGGTTCTATGACCGAACTTGTGACAGTGAAAGCAAGTACCCGGACTGTCCCTTCTTATGAGGACCTTGCTGCTGCTATGCTCTCTGATCCTCCTGTGGTCCCTTCTTATGAGGACCTTGCTGCTGCTGCTAAGAACCCTTACTCTACTGCTAGGGTCCTCTGGGCCCTAAAAATGCCCTCTTGCATCAGAAACCTCTCACATTGAGTGAAAATATTGAGACACAAGATAGCAGCATAGGCTCGGGTGAAGTCCCATCAAAAATATCTGAGCTTGACGCTCCCCTGTGTGCCACATGCCCGTAAACCTGAGTAGACCCATGAACTTGCTTTCATAATCAGCTACAGACATGTCTCCCTGCTCTAATTAGGCTAGCTCTAGCTCCTTTGTAGCATTCGGTGCTGATGATACATACTGTTCATCGAAGAAGTAGATGCCCAGATAAGTGTCATTCGTTACTCTGGTGTGAATTGGAGACTATACCACCCTCCGGCATCTCCCTTGAGGCTAAAAGCTCCTAATCTCTGCTTCTAGACCGAATCGACGTTAAGCATATCTAGGATATTCCCCACATCCTCCTTCCATTTATGGGCTGCAAGCAAGTCCGCTAAACCCTGGTACTCTAGTGCCCTCATCTTTTGATATCTCTCCACCAAATAAAGCTAAGCCTCCTGCTCTGCGGCTCTATCAATAACTGGTTATGGTGTAACTGCTGGTGATTCCTCTGCAATAGGCACAAGTGTTGCTGGTTGAGGCACCACTGGAGGTGGTGTTGCTGGCAGAACCTGATTCACCACTTGCTCCTCGAGCACTGCTAGCCTAGTTGCAATCGGTGCAATGAGATCGATCAAGTACTGTGGAGCTTGCTGCGGCTCAGGCTCTGGCTCAGCTTGTTCAGCTCCCTGAGCACGGGACCCTCTTCGACCAGGACCTCATCCTGACACCTGTGATTTCAGGAGGAAATCTTATAAGATAAAATGATACCTCGAGCATAAATAACTTAACATATAACAATAGGAAAATATATCACTTAGTATCCTCAAAATACTTTATAACAAAAGTAAGATGGTCATCATAAAAAAAATTCTTAAAATTTTTGAGTTATACGTATAACGGCTTCACTCAATCTAGAGATTCCTAGCGAACTCTATACATGAACCCTATGAAACTATATACTAGCTCCACGACTCAACACATGATATCCTAAAGATGCTAGAACTAGAGCTCTGATACCAACTGTGACGCCCCTGTTTTCACATAACGCTGTAGTCCAAGGTGAATCCAATGATGTCAAACCTGCCATGCACCCAACACTGTGCAACAATATGTTTCACCATCACGGTAGTATCTCTCTAGTGGAAATCAAATAAAAGAATTGTGGGTACAAGCAGATTAGAATAAAGATAAAAAATACAAGAAACACGATATAGAAAAGAGATATCCAACAAGAAATGTATTCATGTTCCAACAGAAGATAAGTATCACATTTGATAAGTCTGAAATAAGAGTAATAAATCTCTAACATAAGAGTCAACTAAATATAGTACTAAGGCACACAGTCTCCAACATAAAATACATCTCTAAAGACTAAAAATAAATAATAAACCTATGACACCCCTGGTTTCACACAATGTTGTAGTCCAAGGTGAATTCAAGAATGTCAAACCTGCCTTGCACCCACACTGTGCAACAACATATTTCACCATTACAATAATATCTCTCTAGTAGAAACAATAAAAGATAGTGCAAGTACAAGTAGATATAAGAGAAATAAAATCAGGAAGTAGAACATAAAAATACATGTCCAACAACATAGATAAACAAGTCTCAACTAAGGAACAAGATATACGTCCAATGAATTGAAATAGGAGTAAATAAATACAATAGTCAACTGGATAGTACATAAGCACTCAGCCTCTAAAATAAAATACAACTCTGGAAATCAACTAAACGACTATTAAGCTAATATGGAGCAATAACTGACTATCACGGAATGATGGCAACTATGCAAAAACTCTGACAAACTGTGGCTCTCTGAAACTCTGATCCGCTACCTGAAAAGAGGGGAAGACAATAACGTTAAATCACTAGCAAGAACATCTTCATCCGCCCCCAGGGGAAGGGCTACTACATAAATGGGGGTTCTACCTAAAATATGCATAAACCACCTAAATTATTTACCCTATACTAAATGAGGTTAATACTTAGAAATCCACAACACGAGACTCGTACATCAAGCGTAATAATCTAAACAATGAAACCATCATATATATATACCATGTGTCTCAAATTGTGAATCGCTAAATACCAACTCCAGACAGAAAATAAATAATAAAGGAATACATTACAAAAATACCATCCCAATCAGTGTCATAAATGTCAAACCAAATACCTCACGCTACCCTTGGATAGATGATACGGATATAAGTACATAATACGGTATAACCTACAGCACAATATACCCTGTTGTAATATAACTCTACAGTGAATCATGTTCATAATTAACTCCCGCCTAAGACTCAAGCTGTCAAAAGTTTTACAGTACTATCTCTTGCAAAGTTCTATAGCTCATTGCATCATTTTGCGGAACGGACTACTTGTTCAGACATCCTAAGAAAATACGTCTCACTAGCCTTATCACATCACCATGCGGAACAAACTACCTTCTCAGGCATCCTACAAGTACAGCTCATTAGCCTCATCGTATCACCATGCGGAACGGACTACCTATTTAGGTATCCTACAAATACGGCTCACCAACCTCATCGCATTACCATGTGGAACGGACTACCTCCTCAGGCATCCTACAAGTACGGCTCAACGGCCTACTTCATTGGTATACCGACACACTACCCTATACAGTACTGAGTTGTGCTCATCAACAAGATCCATACAAACACATATATTATCCTAACTAATCATCTCCCTGTCGTGGTCAAACAATACATGAAATTATCCTCTCTCGGAGGTCCGTGTGTGCTAAAACTCTATACATGTACGTCCATGGTCGCGCGTGTGTATGTACGGTTTGAACCTCGTGTTCACAACCAAACAAGCATGTAAAAACCCTTCATCAGCAATTTAACACGTCGATCGACTGCCCTTGAGCATCGGTCGACCAGCGATGAACGTGCACAACGTGTACAACACTATAATCTATTATCGGTCGACTGATGATAGAAGTCGGTCGACCGAATAGAAAGAAAGATTCAAACCTGACAGTCTATCGGTGAATAGTAATTTTGATAGTGAATAGTAATACCGGTGGTGAATAGTGATTCCGACAATGAACAGCAACACCGTCAGGAACAGTACTTTTAGGCGATGAACATTTCCGCCGTTGGGTGAATAGTAAATCTGGCGGGGATAGTGACACTGTCGGTGAATAGTAATTCAAGCGGAGACACAAATACATCGGTGGTGAATAGTAATTTATAAATTAGGGATTTGATCTTAAGTTCTATTCATCAATTTTTATTAAGATCAAGTCTTTTATTCATTTGTATCTAAAGTTCTATTCATAAATTTAAGGTTTAATCTATCAAAATTAAAATTAACTAGGATGGGATTGGAAAAAGATGTATGTGCCTTTATTGAACTATGAAATTAAAATCGCTATCCGTTCATTCTCTCCGAGTAGCCAAAATCCCATATCTTTTCCTTTCTTCTCGATCTCTCTCTCTCTCTCTCTCTCTCCTATTCTTCTCTACGTCTGCCTGCTCCTGCTCTCTCCCACCACCCTCTTTATATAGCCTCTCAATTAATAAAAAAATTAAAAATGGTTGGTGGCACAGTAATATTAGGTGGTGGTTGGTGGCATACTGGCGAAGTGTGTGTGTGTGTGTGTGTGTGTGTGTGTGTAGAGCAAGACTCCTATCAACTTAAGTTGATGTCCACCAAAGTTTATACCCACACATTTATTAATATAAAATAACTTTTTATATAATATAAGGATCCCTAGGCAATATGAGTAGTTAAAAACTTTGGTGGACATACTATTCCCTATCCACTTAAGTTGACACAAGTTTTTACCTATATATATATATATATATATAATATATATATATATATATATATATAATATATATATATATTATATATATATATATATGAGAGAGAGAACATGGGTATGCTTGGTACCACACACAAATTTATACTTTGGTAGTGAGATGTCTTATTCTTATCCACTCAATTTCAATTCCCAATCCACTCCACAAACCTATGTGTAATGTGGGCCTAAATTTCGAATGAGTGGAGGGGAATATTGTCACCGTCAACTATCAAGCACAAAAACTATACTTGGTAGCGAAGCATAATATATTTTCTCAAATGTATATATATATATATATATATATATATATATATATATATATATATATATATATATATATATATATATTATAGTATATATATTATATATATTATATATTAATATTATATATATATATATATATATATAGTGAAACTTGTGTCAACATTAAGTGGATAGGGAATGAGTTGTGTCCACAAAATGTTTTTAAACAGGCACTCATAATGCCTTAGGGTCCTAGGTATTATATAAACAGGTGATTTTATTATTAATAAATGGTGTTAGAAACTTTGATGGACATCAACTTAAGTGATAGGAGTCTTGGTATATATATATATAATATATATAATATATATATATATATATATAATATATTATATATATATATATACTATATATATATATATATATATTATATATCACAAAACACCTAATCTATTAGATTAGGCATCGGTCCGCATTAGAAAGACCGGTTTTGGACCCTATTTGGCACGCCCACTCAATTGGGCGGACCCCACCCAAATTACCTAAACGCCAGTAAGTGAAAATTTTATGTAGAACAGCGTAATTGTAAACGTGACGGAGTATTCTTAGTTTTTGTTCTGGGCGGACCGCATGGCACCTTCATCAGTCTAAATTTACGGAAGTAGCTAGCGTCTTTAATCAGGACGCAAAATGAGAGATACGGACTTTTGATTTCCCTTTTCCTTTTCTATGATGATTCTTGGATTAAAAACAAGTTCTTGGTTGCTATCGTTATTAATAACTTCCCCAAGCACCTAATAAGTACATAAGGGTTTGCTGATCCCCGTAATTTAATTTTCAGGCCAAAAGAACATAAGATCGATCGGTAGAGAAACAAATGAAGGGCAGATGTTTGTTCAGATTACATCGTTGCAAAGGATTACAAGGACTGTACAGGAAAGCTACGTATACGCAGAGAACACCAGAAGCTGATCACCATCTTCATATATATAAACAGAGCACCGCTTCAACAACCATGCACGTAAACCATTGAAACACACATATAACAACCAGCACACTTTTACCCTTGATCGATTCTGATTTTGCAGTTCACAGTAGATAAGATTCGAAGAGACAGAGAGAGAGAGAGAGAGAGGGGGGGGCGGGGGGGGTGGCATATAGAAAATTTGTGTTTAATTAGGGGCCATAGCGGACATCAGTGAACTTGGTCTTGATCCACTTGAAGCTGTTCCTGAAAGATGACTTGAGCTTTCCCTCCATCGTCAGAACGTTGTACGAAGCCACCCTTCGCTTCCTCTTGAGCTCCGGATCACTTGAGCTGCTCGGCCCGTTGAAGCTGTAGGACCGCGATCGGTCCTCGTAGCCAAAGGAGTGGTAGGATGATGATGAGTGTTCTGGAATTGATCTGCTCTTCTCCATATGAGAGAGAGAGGGAGAGAGAGAGAGAGTAGGAGACTGAAGGAGGATGTGGGAATAATTAAGAGAGAGAGAGAGAGAGAGAGAGAGAGAGAGAGAGAGTAGGAGACTGAAGGAGGATGTGGGAATAATTAAGAGAGAGAGAGAGAGAGAGAGAGGCTGATCAATAAGAAGGAAAAGGTAGGAGGGAAAATGATGGCTCTTGCAATTTGAGTGGGGGGCATTCTGAGTGGGAGACCCATGTGTGATGTTGGAACCCAACTTTTCCAATTTCCATTTTATTATTATTATTATTATTTACTTTCGGCTCCTTATTATGAATGAGGGGGGCTGCTCGATAACATAATAAGCCTCGGCTCCTCTACTCTTTACATTTCGGACATCTTTTAAGGTTGCTGCTGGTGTTATGATGCGCAGTGATTCTCTTAGAATTTTATGCTTCGGTAATACATTATGATTACCAACCCTCCTTGGTTTACATACGCGTAGGGATGGAAACGAATTAATTGACTTTGATCAAATACCTTTAAATTCAAATTCTGATTCGTATTATTATTGCGAATTCGAATTTGTGTCGAAGGGGTAGAAAGTGTTCAAATTTGATTCGGTATTAACTAGATATTCGGTAAATATTCATGAATATTTGTTAGCACACTTGATTAAGGCATTTCATTATTAAACCTTGGGTCAAGGTATTGAATCCTATGTTGGATATGTATACTAATATATATAATATACATTATATATATTATAATATATATTATATAAATATAATACATAATATTATATATCAATAGTATATATATATATATATATACATAGTATATAATATATAAGAGAGGAGAGAGAGAGAGAGAGAGAGAGAGAAGCAGGGGGGGGCGATAATGGTATGCTTGTACCAAGCACAGAACTTTATGTGGCTTGGTAGTGGGTGGACAATCTCTTCACTCCACATTCAAAGGGGGACGCACATTACCATGAGTTGAGGAACGCATGTGATATGTAATATATTGAATGAGTGGATGATGATTATACGCAGCCTTACTACCAGTCACAACTTTTTGTGCTGGTACCAGCAACCATTTTTTCTCAATATTATATATATATATATACTATAATAGTATATATACCTATATATATATATTATTATATTATACTATACATATACTCATATTTAAATATATATATATATATAATAATATATTATAATATAGATAATAATATATTATGATTGATTAAATGGTTCCTTGGCATAGGAGGGATTTCTCCTATGACGCTCTAAAATACATGATTGAGCGAATTATGGATGATTGTTCCGTTAAACTTGATCTACATATTCTAAAGACCATAACACACCAGTTGGGGTGAACCGTCGTCGTTTGACCTATCTCCACGGTCGTATCAATTTAACGGTTTCTGAATGCATAGAATTTTCACA